CTGATTTTGTCTAAGGTCCCAAGAACACTCAATAGGAGACTGACAGTTTCCTCAATAAACTGAAACTGCAAAACTACTAAAAGAAAACATAGGAAGAAGATCCACGACTTTGGTCCAGGCAAGATTTTCAGATATGACCTCAAAGCAGAGGCAACAAAAGTAAAAACAGACAAATGGATTACATAGAATTAAAAAGCTTCTGCATACCAAATGTAACAATAAGTGATATGAAGAGATACCCCCACAGAATGGGAGAAATGTCTGATAAAAGGGTTAATATGAAAAACGTCTAAGGAACTTAGACTCAATAGCAAGCAAATAACTTGACCACAAAATGAACAAGGGACCATAGCACACATTTTTCCAAGAGAGACAGGTATGGCCAATAGGTACATGAAAAAAGTGTCCTTATCTTCAGAAAAATAAAAATTAATAAAACCTTTATGAAACATCATTTCACTCTAGTTGGAATGCCTATCATTAAAGAGAGAGAGAGAGAGAGAGAGAGAGAGAGAGAGAGAGAGAGACTGAAGCTAACAAGTGTTGGCCAGTATGTGAAAATAAAGGGACTGATGTGCATTGTCGCTAGGAATGTAAATTCATATAAGCCATTATGAAAAGCACTATGAAAATTCCTCAGAATCCAAAAATAGAATTATCAAATGATCCAGCAATCCTATTACTGGGCACATTTATAAAGGAAGTGAAATTAGCATGTTGAAAAATTAATTATCTATACTTCCATGTTTCAGCATTATTCATAATAGCCAATACAATGTAAATAACTTAAGGGTCATTCAACAGAAGAATGGATAAAGCAAATGCATATATGTATGTGTAGATATCTATATCTATATATATGTATGTGTAGATATACATATATAACTACACAAATATATATATATATATATCTACTATATTTATCTATATATATCTATATATCTGCATGTTTACACATACACACATATATGTACACATACATACATATATGCATGTATACACACAAAATGGAATATTATTCAGCCTTAAAAAGGGAAATTCCTGTAATTTTTGGCAACATGAACAAATACAGAGGATATTTTTGCTAAGTAAAATAATGTAGGCATAGAAAGACAAATACCAAATGATCTCACATATATGTGGTATCTAATACAGTTGAACTCATAGAAGTAGAGAGTAGAATGAGGGTTACCAGAGACTAGGTACAAGGGAATAAGGGAGGGAGTGAGGAGTTGTTGATCAAAGGGTACAAAGTTTAAATAGGAGGAAGAGATTTTGAGATTTATTGCATAGCAGATCCACTGTAGTCAATAATGCACAGTATACTGCAAAACAACTAGGAGTAAATTTTAATTGTTTTAAAATTAAAAAAAAATGATAGGCAAGCAAGGTGATAGATCTATTAAGTAGCTGGATTAAATCATGCACTTTGTATACCTCTGTCAAAACATCATACTGTATCCCATAAATGCATATGATTATAATTTATCAAGAAAACAATACTATTAATAAAAGGAAATTAATATGTGAATGTAAGGAATACCAATGAAGGTGGAGTGAAATGGGCACTCCATGTACACTCTTCTGATGCTTAAACTTATAAATCTCTTATAAAACAGTTTAATGATGTGCTACAAGTATTTAAATACCCATGCTCTGATCTGTTAATTCCACTTCTAGAAATTAATTTAATAATTAAACTGGAGCTAAAAAAGACTCAAATTGTATTACACAAACTATACCCATAAAGCTATGCTTCCTATTATACCAGTGAAAAATAAGAAGAGTGGTAAGACAGACAAAAAAATTAAAACTAGGTAGGAGATCTTCAAGGTAATAATCAAGAAAGTGTCTGAAATGTAAAGCAATGTCATATATTGTAGCCCAAGAACAACTACAGGTGATAACAAAGGTAAACTAAGGTAGACACCTGATTGTAAAAATAACCAAATTAATTTGTTTACAAATTAATCATCAAAGTAAGCCAACGTTAAATCTGTACAGTTCCCAGGTTCTCAGTCTTATAGGAAGAACTGTCTCATTTGACACATGGAACATATATTAGGTTACAGAGGTAACAAAGGTTCCTCAATTTAGATCAGGTTAAAGGTCAAAATTGTTCATGAACAAGACAGAATAATGTTATAACACACAAACTAGTAAAATGGCATTTTCCATCTATTTAATATAATTTATTTCATATAAAATATTCCTTAAATTTAACCATATTTTCCACTCTAGAAAAACATAGACAGAGTATATATCCCATCCTGCTAGAGATACTCAGAAAAATGCCACAATGATAATCAAAGAAGTTTAGTACATTTATTTAATTTATAAAAACCATGGAAATTTCACAGTGTCTTTTGCCAAGCGGGGAAATAAATTTTGTTTTAAATTTAATTTTTTAACATCATACAATGTTACTATAAAATAAATGGGAATTATAGAAAGCAATACTCAAATAATACTGACATAATTTCAGCAAAATCAAGGGAATTATAAGACTAGGCTGGTATACCATTTATGCCAGATCTATCCCAAAATTCAGTCAGATAATCTGAACTTACAACAAAATTTAATTGCGATTCCCCACCTTTTTTTGAAAGTCAGGAGAAGAATAGAAATTTAGTAGATTAGACAAAGGGGAGTGAAGAGAATGGAGGGTATAGGAAAGACAGTGGAATGAATTGGACATAACTTTCCTATGTTTATACAATCATTGAAACTCCACATCATGTACAACCACAAGAATAGACTCCTAATTAGAAAAAGTTATACTATATTTATTATATGTGAAAATATACTCTACTGTCATGTGTATCTAAAAAGAACAAATTAAAAAAAGAGAAAGAAAAAGAAGCCCAACTATTAATTTTATTTGAATGTTTTCTTAAGGAATAGGAAGCTCTTCCAATGTTCTAAAATTAGATTGTGATGATGGTTATGTAAATGAAATTTACTGAACTATACTCCTAAATTATATTTTGTAATATGTAAATTGTACCTAAAACAGCTTATTTCAAAGTGCACCCTCTACTGGGCAGCTGGGGCAGGCTGCTAACTTGGAAGTTGTTCTCTGTGGCCTAAGAAAATGAGTATGAGCCTGGGAAGTGAGTCCAGAGCAGCAGTTAAAGATAGCATGGCTTTCAGCCTGACCAGTAATGGGTAAATTGTCTTTTGGTCCCCTTAAGACAAAGGGCAAAAATGAACATATTAATTAGGGAAAAATTTCTTATATATAGAACTGTTTCAGCCAAGCTTATTCCTTAAAACAAAACCCTAAATCCTTAAAAAAAACTGTGACTCACTAGATAGAAAGTCTGGTATATACATAAAGCCCATTCAGTGAAAAATGAAATGTAAGACATACTTGGGGTTGCAAAAACAAAACAATGAAACAGTAAACTAAACACATTTCACATAGGGCAAAGAAAACAAAACAAATCCTCACTCACAAAGCATATGTGGAAATGTTCCATATTCAATGGGCCACTTTTTGTCACTATTTTGACTATTACTAGCATATCTTACATTAGAATACACTTTAATAAACATAAGCATACACATACTATTTTAGATGGCAACATCTCCTAGAACAGGAGAAAATGCAACAGAACTCATTAGGATAGATTTCTCCTTTCTGATTCTTAGATTAAAATAAATTAAATGTCTTTTACTCCTAGACATTTCCTTCCTAAATCAACAATTATCCTACTTTAGCAGATAATACCCGTGGAGTTATTGTTTTTAGCAAAAGTTCTACTTTTCCTCTCAAAAACAGTGAAATGGTGAAGACTAACAAGGAACTGAATCCTAATTAAAACCTAAGCCTTATATTCATATTGGAAATATAATTTTTTATTAAAATATTAACTCATTAGCAATTCTCACAATTATATTGAGTTTTTATACCTTTAATGGACACCAAAAGCTCAAAATGTTTTCCCATAGAAAATTCTAAACAACAACAACAATGACAAAAAATAGAATTAGAAAACAAATCTCCACATACCATAATCTATAGATTCAAGAATTTTGATAATTTGGCACACTTGCTTTATCTACCTTTCTACATATGTATTTTTTTCTGTGAACTTTCATGTAAACTCCAGCCTCCACGTCTTCTACCCCTATGGACATTAGTGAGCATTTCTAAAAAAATAATAAATTTAGTGACTACCAAATGTTTCTTTAAATAGAAATGTATTTTCAGTCATATCATGAAGATCCATAAATTTAAGATTTACTTAGTATCTACAAAAGATAAACTCTTAAAAATCCTAAATAATTTCTTTCTATTAAAATGTATCTGGCTCATATTTTTCTATTTGAAATTACTATACAAAAGTATAGGTAAAACACTAAAAATTTTAATACTAAAAAGAAAGCAAGTGAAAAATTGTTTTAAGTCATGCTTGCCACTGTATTACATTAATATATTTCTGTTTAATAATATAAACTCATAATTCTCCTGAATATTAAAATCAGAAGCAATCTTCTACCTAGGTGTGCAAATACTGAACCTTAAAAGAGAGTTAGCAAGCTTTGAATACTGTAAAAAATTAAAATTCTGGAGTATAATTTATAGTGTTTAATGAAATTTGTACATATTGGATATACTGGAATATCATTTTAACATGTGATCACTTTCATTGACATAAACTAATCTTATGTCAGTATATTTTTTAAGTCACTGTAATTTTATGTCACTGTAAAATTTAAATTACATTAATAGCACTATGATACAGCCATTATATTTTCACATAAGATAAAAGGAATTTAAAATTTAGATGAGCATTGATAGAAATGCCAAATTATCATACCAAAATATCAAAACACTAAATTAGTATTTTAGCTCCTGATCATATTGACTTTTATTCATATATTTTGTACACATTTTCCATGTGTATTTTGGGGATTATTGAGGATTAAAATATATGTTTGAATATAATATCTGATCTTTTAATCTTTCTGTGCATCAAGTATTAAATCCATACCTTCAAAGTAGCCATCTCTTTTGGACGGTGTCTGCTTTGGTGATTTTATAACAGAAACTTTATTTTCATTGTTTTTGAATAATGCTAGGCGCACACTGGGATCTAGACAAAAAGAACAAGAGAGAAGATCAGCTCTGGATCATTCTTTCTCTAAAAGGACCACATATTTTTTATGATGGTATTAAAATATTATCCCCTCTATAGGAGTCTATGATATTGATGATCTTATTTCCCAATTTATAATATGAAAAGGTAGCCAACCAATATTCTTGGTTGTCTGAATATACACACAGCCAATACTTAGTATAAAGGACAGTAACATTAATAATGTGAAAAAAGTTGCTTGTAAACTTCCCAGTCATGGCATCATATACTTTACTATTTACTAATTTACCTCCTTTTTAAAATCCCTAATATTTCTTCTAGAATAAAGCAAAATTTCTATAGATGTATAACTAGGCAATAAAGTTCTCATTATAGAAAAAAAAAACATGTGTTCAACTTTTCCCACTCTAAATTACAGAGCTAGGATATGGGAACATGAAAGCAGGCAGCTATTAGATTGAGGGCCAAAGAAAAAAAGATTATTTCATTAATTTTATACATACAATTTTGGTGTTGTTTTCCCAAATATATTGTATTTACCTACCAAAGACGTACAAATACTCTAAAGGTTTTAAAGTCTAAAATACCCTAAATGTATTATTTTACAAAACAAAAAGTGTGATTTAAATGTAGGGCATGTAACTTTTTATTTGTAATAAATACTATACATATTCTCTGGAATATGAAAAATGAGAATTCAGTACTTCTGTATTATGAGTTTTTGCTTAAGAACTCTAAGAAGACAGTGATGCAAGTACTAGGGAATGAAATCCAGGGTGGAAAGTTATGCATTTAGTAGGGTAGGAAAAACCACAATTTGGAGTAGCACACATTTTCATAGTATTCTGTATCATCTGGCTGGAAGAGAGTTTAAGAATATTTGATTAATATCTAGTATAATAGAACTCAATATGCTAAGTGGGAAAACAAGATATTAAATGTCATGAATATTAAACAGTATATTTTAATTAAATGATAAAGTAGCATATTTCTTAGAATGTGCATTTTTCTAAGCAGAATAAATAGCATTTGCAGAGTTATTCTCCAATATAAGCAACCTGATGATTTTCATTTTTTTTAGTAATAATTTATCCTTAGTAATTTTGATTAACACACTACACTAAGATTATACTTCTTTAACATTAGAAAAATTTCAATGTTTGGGTACTTCCCTAAGTGTAGGCAACCTAAAGTGTTTTAATAATTGGATATTTCTACATTAATTCATTTTGAATTATCAATATGAATAATAAAATTATGTATATTTCATTGAATAAGTTTTATGTGTCACCTAAATCATTTTAAAAAATATTGATATATCAAAAGAAGCATTACTCAATCAGGGAAGACAGATTTCTATGGGTTCACAAACTGTGTGGTACCTCACAACTTCTTTTGATAACTTATAACCATCTTTCTATTCTCCTGCTCTTCTTGCCTCTTGGCAATGACTGGCAATTCAACATTATTAGTTCAGATTCTAGTTTCAATGTTTACCAGTTGTATCACTCTAAAAACAATTGCTCTCATTTTATGACTTCTCTGTCCATCAGAAATAATACTGACTTTCAAGAACTACTGTGAGAATTTAATGTAATAATGTGTGTAAAGCATCAAATCTAATACCCACATAAGTGTGGACACTCAATAAATGACAGTTAGCAGATAGATATATATTACAACATAAACAACTATAATATTTCCAACCTATTGTACTCTTGGAAAAGACCATAAATCTTTCATAGTATAAGAAATAGATGAATCCATAATATCTCCCTTTTATGAAATATAGCACACAAAACAAAAGCTATGGATCTTTTATAAGTTCTTTGGTACTTCCTTGGGCAAGCAACAATCTATCTATGATTTTTTTTTTTTTTTGTATGGGGAATTGAACTCAGGGGCACTAAACCATTGAGCCACATTCCCAGCCCTACTTTGTATTTTATTTAGAGACTGGGTCTCACTGAGTTGCTTAGCATCTTGCTGTTGCTGAAGCTGGCTTTGAACTCCAGATCCTTCTGTCTCAGTGTCCCAATCTGATGAGATTATAGGCATGAGCCACTGTGCCCAATTTATGAGGTTATTTTTTAAATATGTAAAACAGGGATAACAATAGCACTTCCTTATACTATTATCAAGATCAAATAATTTAATACCTGTCAAATAACCAAAATAATCAGCTCAATTTATTCAATAGTTTTATTCCCCAAGTATAAATGTCCTTTCATTTCAAAACATTCTGCTTGCATCAGCAAAAATTGATTTAAAACTTAATTCAGATTGCAAAGGGATAATGATAAGAAGCAAGACACACTTTGGTAATTTAAGATAGAGGGAAAAAATCACTTGATTTTGATAGTTCCTGGAAATACCACCTTGGTTAAGACACTATTCTTACTCCCCCACAACCCTAAATACAGTCTAGTAGAAAGTCAGGGGATAAGGATGTGTAAAGTACAAATTGTGACACAGTTCTCATGACTGTAAAATTAGTTTTGCGCATTAATTCCACTCCTCTGTGATCATCAATACCAGGTCTGTTACTTTTTTATTTTTATTTTTTCAGAAAATTTTGAGTCTCCCAAATATGGCTTGCTTATGACAGGAAATAAAAATATTTTTAAAAAGCTCTATGTAAGTAAGCTGAGTTCCTACTAATGAACAAGGCTTTATACTTTGATGCTCTATATCACTTATCTCATTTAAGTAATATAATTTTAGTTAGACAATAGAAGTATACATAACAATATTTCTTTTTGAATCCTCTCACTTAAAATTATCATTTTGCAAACAAATTGCTTTCCTACAGTCCTTGAACTACTCAGTGCACATTAAAAAACGAAATTACCCTTTCTTAATTTCCACCTGGTTAATTCTTGGTTGAGATTAAATGTTAACCTTTTTCTTCATCTTATTCTTTCTTTTCTCTAGGAAATTTTGATATGCATCAATATGATAAATCTAGAAAAACCATATTATTTGTGCATCCTATGTTCTTAGCCCTTAAACATTTTACCAGCTGTTCTGCACCAAAAGCCATATACTCAGAACATTCTAAGAAACACTTCACATCAAAACCAGTCACCACGCCCCTTCCCCAGCTAGCGAATCTCAGACTTGCTACCAATTATGCTTGCTACCCTAAGGTTATTGACCCTGCATGTTTTCAATAAACCTGTAACTCGCCTTACATTTGATATTCTTCACTGCAGCACTGAATTCTAAACTATCCTCAGTTTCTGCTAAATTCCAATGCAGATCACCAAATTTTGTAAATACTAACCAGGCAACAGTAAAGCATAAACAAACAACCCACAAAAACAATACTGGTCATTATTGGTTGAAGCTGATATCACTCATGAGGGGAAAAGCAATTATTTATTTACTGAGAAAAACAACTGTAACCCAATCATAAACTGGGTAGATCATGATAGCTCTTCACAATTTTAGATTTCATCCCATACCTTCTAATCAATTCCTCTTCCTTGTCCTACACTCTGCCTCCTTCTCTTTAAAGCAGATGGCTTCACTTAAAGCAACAGAAGTCATCAATAATGAATCTCCCCCAACAGCTGTCCACACTACATTTCCTCAGTTCCTTACATCTTTATTAAACATCTTCCTTCAGTTTCTTCCTCTATCTGCAACTGATTCCATTACACCTCACTTTTTTAAAAATTTAAGTCACCTTATGCCTTTTGTCCTATTTTCACTCTCATCTTCAAATATTATTGACTTCTATTCCTTGACTAATAAAAATGTAAAGATATGAACAAGAAATATTGTTAAGTGCTTGCTACTAAATTGCTCTCAGTTTTTCATGGCAGAAATTTGAATTAAAGTTTCCATACTCATGTTTACACCCCATGTCCTTGAGGACCACTGCCTTTGTTTAATTGTAGGATATCATTTATTGCACTAATTAGTAGTTCCTATTCTCTAACACCTCTCCCACCACTCTACCAACCCCCATAGATCTGGCTATGCTCCCGGCACCGGCAGTTTTATGGACAATGTTGCCCTCTGGTGGCTTGAAGTTACAAATTGATAAATTGTTAACATAAAACACACACACACACACACACATACACAAACACACACCATCTCCATGTATATTTAAAAATTACTAGTATATTTAAAGTATTTCACAGGAGTTAACTATTTAGCAGGATTTCAATATTTAAAACATTGATTTAGATCATAAGTAAGTAAAGTTTTAAAATTATGGCTGTTATTTGGATAGATTCCAGTAAATTAATGGCATAGCACACATTGACTGATTTATAAAACTGAGAAAGGTAATAGAAAAATATCTATTCTCTAGGAAGAAAACCTAAGGTAGAGACTTAAATAATTTATTCAAAACTAAAAGAAGTGACATGAGTACTATATGATTAACATAACAGAAGATAAATAAGATGTGATCCTTAGAAAGGATTGCCTTGATTTTTTTTCGTTCCCTTTAATCCTCCCTTAATATTTTTAATTTGTGTATCTGCTGTGAAGGAGAAACAGAGGAATATAGGATAATATAAAGCTCATATGTAGAATAATAATATGGGATAATACATAGGTTATATGTAGGCATTCGAATTTCTAAGAAATGTTGCTTTTGTTTTCTTAATCTAATATTATTTTAATGAAACAAAAGAAGAAATGTGCAAAATTCAAAATCTCACATAATAACATAGATGTAGTTTAAATCTTGTAAAAAGAGTAATAATTCCCATAAAAATGATACAATTGCCACTCAGAATTTTTAATCTAACAGAGCATGCTTTGTGAGCACTGAGAAAATGTTAAGATGTAGTTACTAAACTGGATGGTTGGCTGTGCTTTTTTATTTGTTACCCTACCATGCCCCCTTGTGACTGATAAAAAGCAGCTTTATTTTTTGACCTAATTATATTGAATTGTGGCCATTAAAGCAATAATATTTATGTGTGAGCATATATTGCTTATTGAATCCTTTGCTAATACATATTTCTCATGGTGATTTAAGAAAAAGGACCCAACCAAAACAAAATAGCCCCTCAATTACAAGAATCAGTAAGAAAGAAATATTTTTCAAGACAGAATCATATGGCAAATCTGATAAGGTAAACTTTTCCTTAGCTTTGAATGCAGAAGCTACTGAAAAAAAAAAAAAAAACTAAAAATATCTTTTAAGAATAGTTCTAGAAAAATTTCTGGAACATAAATAGGTGAAAATTATTTGTTGAAAATTGGTTGAATCAGTTCTTAAACCTTTTTCACAGCTGATCTTGCCCCAGGAGTTTCAGAAAAAAATTTAATTCTCAAAACAGTTGTTTTTCTCATAGTCTTGAAGATGGATAGAAATAGACATCAGAGCAATAAAAGAATTTATCAAACCACACTGATTTATTTTACTGGGTACCACATCCCCAGAACTGAAAAGAGTGTCTGACTGTTGCCTGGGTTTTGGTTACTGTTTCACCAGGTAACCACCACAGAGTTTTCTGCTCACAGAGACTTCATAAACTTAGTAGGAGTTTACTAGATGAGAATGCAGGTCACAGACAATTTGGAAATCACAATATTTATTTATATTTTCTTTAAAAATGCTTAAAATCCCAACATTTAAAACCCAACAAAATTTTAATACACACAAAATTATAATTATCTCAAAAAGGTAACATAAAATTATCATTAATGTAAAACCAACAAAGGAAACTTGTACAATTCTGAAAATGAATCCTCTGTAACTTCTCAATAGCTGATTAGTGATGTGCCAACAAATCAGTTATTCCGTGGAAAACAACAGTATTTTGATTATTTTATTTCTATTTTTTTAAACATTAAAACACACACACATTATTCAGAATTCTACTGAATTAGTAATTTAAAATAATACATAGAAAAACAATAAAGATAAAGAGTTTTTGAGCGCTCACTTCTATGTTTACATATAAGAGAATTATAGGAGAACATAAATTTATTTTCTGATGAACAAAAACTCAGTTTTTTAAAAATGATACTTGTAACAAGCCTATTAGTGCATCAGTTCATAAAGTTACAAATAAATGCAGTTATCTGCTGTATGTAAATAATTTTAAATAGTGCTAAATAAAGAAATAAAATCATAACTTGCTATTTCTTGCTCTGACATCTGTAAGCTCTTCCACATATTAATTAACTATACTAAAATCATTAGTGTTATCTAAAGACATGATTTGAAGAGTAGCCTGGCAAGTAGGATAGAAGATGCCTTTGAACACTTCCCAAATTCTTCAAACACTACTGTCCCAAACACATAAATTGTGTTTCTTTTTCAATGTAGCAAGTTGAAAAATCTTCATAGCTTATTAAATCCTTGAAACTGACGAATTTATACTGTTTACTGAATAATCAAGCAATATAAGAACACACAAAGGAATATGAAGCTGATGCTCTTTAGAATCAACATTCCCCCAAACGAACCACTTTAGAAGCAAATTATAACATAATACTCAGTACACAACAGATAGAATAATAAATAGCAAAGTAGATAAGAAACAGGGTAAAAGTATTTTAAAAGTACAATAAATCCTTCAATGTAATAGCATAGTAATTTTCTCTAATTTTTTAAAATTTATTTTTGGTGTGATTATTTTAGACATTCATCTGTGCATTCATTTATTTCATATTAAAATAGTGTATAAAATGTATTTTTAAAGAATTTATCTTCAATATCACAAATAGTTACTATTCAAAGAATATTAATTACTTACCTAATTTTTTCTTTAATTTCTTCGATTTCATTTTCTGTGCCCTCTTCAGCATTTGTTGAGCAGTAGAAATATCCTTAAATCCCCTGTTAAAAAATAAATTTCATGAAGGCAAAAAATATCCAGGCCTTGTATATACACATAAAGATAAATACACACATCTGAATTACATCATCCTAAAATAAATTTGTATTCCCATTTAATCAGATGCTTAGTTTCTTGAAAATTAATAAAGACAGTCTCAAATCCTGAAAATTATCTGTCTTGGACATTTATTAATCTCTCAATTTCTTAAGTTTTAATGTAAAACAGACTACATACCATTCTTCTGAAATTTTTTCTTCTTTTTCAGATCTTAGTAAATTCTTTCTACTAGTCTTAGATTCAGATGTCCAGGATAAAGTTCCATTTTCTGATCTGGCAATAGAAATAAATGACTTTTAACTGAATCAACACAAATATCAGCACAGTCTAAAAGTACAAGCTGTTTATGTTGTCTCAAAGTTGGAAATAAAATCCATTTACAGAAAAACTTTATCTTGAAAAGTAATAAAAGTCTGCCATTAATTTTAAATGTTTACATTTCAATTACTTGAAGCATATTTCAATCCTATTGCTGAAAGTAATGCAGCACTGGGACTTTTATTCTAATTCTTATCTCCACCTATAAAGCAGTAAAGATCCACTTGTTTGCAATAATTAATTACATTATTTCGCCAACACGTAAGTTTTGTAGTTGCTTTAATGCACCTACCTCACATTTTTTCTTACACTGAAAACTCAAAAAAATGATATTTTTAATATTGATTGTTGTTCCATCTTTTAAACAAGTAAATTCACATCTATTTTTGTAATGCTGCTTAAGGAATATAATGTTTTGTCTTTTATAGGTTGATTTCCTAAGAGAATAATTTAGCTTACCTGCCATTTAAGTGTGTGTGTTCCGATGAAAAACAATTTTCTTTGTCATTACATAGCCATGCTTGAGCTGGATGACTTGGTAAATTAAGTGAGGCATCATCATATTTCAAAGTTCCAGAGATCTTATCAGACAAAAATGTAAATAAGTTTAAAGAAAATTGGAAAATTCTATCATTTATAAAGTATTGCTTTCTATTCATGTTACCAAGTAGTTTCATGAGGGAAAGTCACAAAAATATTAAAAACTTTTTAAAATGAAATTTCTGGAGAATTCATACATGACTTGTTATAATGATGTAGAACACGTATTTTGGTATAGTTCACATATGTAAAATGATTAATAGCAAAGATCTTTAACAAATCTCAGAAAACAAAAACTTCAAAGATTATCAAATAAATAACAGATATTGCAGTCCATTGACCTCTGACTGAGAATCTTCAGCTGCTGCCCTTTTAATGCATATTTTTGTATTTTTAAAGTGCTGTCAACTAGTGATTTTAATCTACTGCCAAATATGCAGCTGAAGCATATCATTATTATTATTTTTTTTGCTACTGTGAAATAAAGTGTTGAAAGAAATCCAAAATAAAGAAAAAAAATAGGAGTAAATGAAAGAAAAGCTACATGAAAAATTACATCTGGGGATGAGGAGGAAGTCAAAGGCTTCTAAAAGTAATTATGTTTTTCAAGTCAATAAATTGTATTATTAATCACTGCAGCACAGCATAACCTTAAGAAATGAACAAAGATCGAGAACTCAGACGTTTCCATGACATGTTACCTTTGGCCAGTGCAGCTGGTTTGAGAGAAGCAGTGTTTGTGAAGGGAAGCGGGTGGAATCTAAATCTAGCCATTCTTTCTCAATGGCAGCCTGCACAAATAGTAACATTAAAATATACAAAATTTAGTTTGCACAACTTTCACTAAGTTTCCTTTAAATTGTCTTATATACTACAAATGTTGCCAAAACATATCAGAATTTTTATTTACAGGGAATTTGCTCTTTGCTATTGTGAGAGGATATGCAACTATATAATGCAAACATACTAAGAAATGGGATAAGTCTTTTCATCTCCAGGTTTCCTATAAAGTGAAAACTTGATATTTAAGTACTCTTAAAATGAGGTACAGATTGTTCTGGGTATTTCACTGTTTAAAACTATGACTTTGAGCCAAATCTAGACCTACCCAAGTAAAATAATAGTTTAGCTCTTTGCAAATTAAAGTACCTTCTAGCAAACATGATTGAAAACATTACAATAAACATATATAATTAAAAATTATAATTTTTTAAACCAGAGTATATAAGCCAGCTTTTTCTTAGTTTGTTACAAATTTCACAAATTTTCTGATAGAAACCAGAATTTTAGTCAATGAATAAAACATCACAATGAATATGGTTCCTGTTATTATTAAGCTTTAATCCAACTGTTTGAATAAAAATATAAATTCAAATTTAATTCTTGAAACTCCTATTTTAAATCTCCCCTCTCTTCGGCTTGAAACATCTTTGTTCCATTCACATAATTTCCAAATTCTATCTATAATGAAATTGTGCTGATTATATTATCATTGTATATTTAAAATATAATTAACCAAATTTTATTTAATTGGATTATCTCACACAGCTTAGAAAAGACTTCTGTGGTTCTATAATATTTTTTGGATTGTTTTGGGGAAAAAAACCAAGAGCATCAGAGGAATACCGATTAATTTTTTAAAAGGCTGTAAACTGAACAAAAACAATTTTTACTTAAAACTAGAATGATTATATTCTGAGGAGATTTAAATACACTTTTCATTTATACAATTTCAGTACTTCTTGACTGCCATATGAAAGACTATAGGAAAGGCAGGACAAAGGCATACTGACAAAAGGTTGGCAGTGCCCTTGACAAATTTTCACTGTGGCTTTCAGTCTTAGGAAATCTTCTACTATTTGAAGAGTGTATAAACATGGCACATCTATTCAGTAGTTAAGTACTTTGCAAGATTTCTTCCAGATAAGGATTATTAGTATTCGTATTTACAGTTATCTATTATTTAAGAACACATATCTGGTTTATGAATTGCTATTTTCAGTTTGGTAAGAGTAATGAGTTCAAGAGATATACTGTATAACATGGTGACTAAAGTTAATAACAGTTCATTGCCTTCTTGAAAATCAGTAAGTAATGTTCAGCATTCTCACCAACAACAGTGATAAATATATGTATTAATCCATACAATAAGTTTGATTTAGCCTTTCCACAATGCATACATATTTCAAAACATCATTGTGTTACACAATAAATAATTTTTGTTAATTAAAAATTCAAATTTTAGTTTTCCCAAATAAAGAGCACAGAGCATGTGCAAGAGAGAGAAGTCATTTTCTCATCAGAACCATTAGTGTTCCTCCTTCTCATCTTCACAGAGAGAAAAGGTTTGAAAATGGCAGTCCAGAAACAATGACTATAGTTCAGAGGGGCAGCACAATAAAAGGAATCAAGAGACTGTGTCAGTTTTTAAATGAAAGAGTTGACATGAAGGGGACTTGCTTTGATATGTCTGGGGAATTTAAGAAAATAAACTATTGCAATTTACTTGCAATATATTTAAGCTGCTAATGTTAACTACGTGTTAAATCATGCCAGGAATTCAGTAAACTCCCACTGACTTATACAATCAAAATGCTTATGATGGATGATAAATAAATTTGATGACTGAACCATTTAAAAATTGCTATTTGATGCAAAATAGCAAATGGGATTTAGGACTTAGATTTTTAATTATTCTTGATGACAAATAGATGAAAATCTAGATCTCTTTGAGGGAAGATCAAGGGCTACTACACATCAGCTGATGAAAAATTGCTAAAATGAGGAGAGATATGAAGGAAACAATATTACAAAAGGCAATATGACAACTGACAAGTGTCTGTGGCAAAGGAATAGTGTTGTCAGGGATGGAGGCTGAGTTTTACGATTTTTTTATGGACATTTTTTTTTCTTAAACACCTGCCAACCCAACTCCTTTTTTAATGTCCTTTGGAAATTCAGCTGTTTTCTCTCTGCAGCAGAACAAGGTCTCTCATAGCACAGTGACCTCTTTGCCTTATTATATAGATATTGAAAGAGTACTCTTACTTGAAAAACTTATATAAATAAGTCTGGGGAAAAGTTTGCTTTTTAAAAATTGATAATTAAAAATACAGAAAACTTTGCAAAACACCTTTTCTTAGTTTGAATGTAAGATCACAAACTTTTATAGGATTTCAGGATAATTCTTTCCTCAAGAAATTTCTAGAAGCTCACAGAGGAGGTTAATACAAAATGCTAAAGATGCGTGTAATTTTACCATTATACAATCACAACCAAAATAACTACCAACCAGAATTTATTATACAACAAAATTTATTAACCAACCAAAATTATTATCAAGTATATTTAGCATTACCTAGTACATTGAGGAAAATAAAATTTCAAAGTGCCAGGAAGAATTGGCCAAGAGTTATAAATATAGCACTGTCTTTTAAAATGCATCTTAAAATGTCATGCTTACAACTGCACATTTATACTATTTTTGGCTATTTCTAAGAAAACTTTATGTTCAGATATCCTTTGACTTACAACTAAGGGTTTATAAAGCATTCTTATTACTATAGGACTATTGTCATATTTACTTACATATTGAAAGTGAATTTGAACTTGAATATATTTGTATCCGAATATTCACAGTTAGACATTTGATCCAACATACACATATTTGGCTTTTGTCCATAGAAGAAAACATTATCCTATAATTCAATTTTGATAGCATGGAAAATAAAGCTATCAGGAAGAGAAGGTGCAAATAACACAGATGTTGTAATGTGTGTGTGTGTGTGTGCGCAAAATTTTTCATTCTATTTATAAAATCCTTTAATTTGACTCATGAAATGAGGACAAGACTTACTCCAAGCCTCAAGTCAGTGAATGTTGAATGGTCATAGAGATTCTAAAAATAATAGTTTGACCTCTTTCTTACTACATGACTCACTTCTACCAGTATGGCTCAACAATTTCCCTTTCTGTCCAAGGTGATGCTTAAACTACACCAAAAAGAATTACTTTGAATTTTTTCTTCATATCTTTTATAGCATCTCACAATCATTGAGGTTCATAAAGCTGGCCCAATATGAACCCCAAGTTCTGCTTTCTAAACTACTTCTTCACTTCTCCTACTTTAAAAGAATAGGTGTTTATATCATTAAATATGACTGTTGTATGGCAAACATGTCTCTTTCCACTACACTTATATCACTTGTATTTACTCTTTTTCTTTCCCACTTCTGTTAACAATGACTATAGTTCAGAGGGGCACCACAATAAAAGGAATCAAGAGACTATTTTCCTCCAGTGTATCATAACATATAACACCCTATGAGGTTAATTTGAGACAGGGATAAAATATCAACTCCAGATCAGTGAATTGCCCAGCTTCTCACATTTTGCCTCCTTCTTAAAATTATTCCTGAACATACTAAATTTGACTTAAGACTGAGACAAAACCCAATTCTGATTATCGTGGTTTTCCGATTTTATGGTATGACATTAGCTTTTCTCATATTCTTTGGGTTTAAGGATTCATACATTATCAGTCATTTAAATTTAAATACAATTAAAAAAAAACTAGGAATGAAATTACCATATGACCCAGCTATCCCACTTCTCGATATTTATGCAAAAGAACTTAAATGAGCATATTACAGTGATACAGTCACATCAATATTTGAAGCAACACAACTCAAAATTGCCAAGTGTGGAACAAGCACAAATGGTCATCAAAAGATAAATGGAGAAATAAAATGTGGCATATATAAACAATGGAGTTTTATTCAGGCATAAAGAAGAATAAAATTATAGCAATTGCAAGTAAATGAATGAAACCAGAGAACATCGTGCTAAGTGAAATAAGCCAGACCCAGAAAATCAAGGATCAAATGTTTTCTCTCATATGTGGAAGCTAGAGCAAAATAAGGGGGAAAAGGAGTGGGTGGGGTGGCTGTGTAGAATTCCTTGAAAATAGAAGAGATATTAGTGGAGTAGAGGGGAGGGAGGAGGGATGGGGAATTTGAGGGACACTGAAATGAAATTGACCAAACTATCCTATGAACATATATAAATATACCACAGTGAATTTTACTTTCATAGAGATTATGTATATCTATAAAACACTAATTAAAAAATTAAAACTTAACAGAAGAAAGATTACTGGAGTAGTAGAAAAGGTACAGGGAGAGAGAGGAGGGGAGGGAACTAATTATCTTCCATGCTTGTATGTCACAATAAACCCCAATGTTATGTATAACTATAATGTACTAATAAAAAGTTATATATATATATATATATATATATATATAATTTTAAAGACAATTGCATTGGTTCTTTATATGTTGACTTTTAAATAGCATGAGTAAAAATGAAAATAAAAGCTCCTAAGTTAACAAATGAAAATATCAGCTAAAGTTTATTTCAAATTAAAAAGGTTAAAAAAAATGAAAGGGCCAATGTAGACCACTATATCGGACTACTAAAATAGGCTATTTTAGTGTTTCATATCTATTATATTCTAGAAAAAGTTGCAAAACTTTTTCCCAAAGCAAATAAGAGATCTCATCTTACTAAAATTGCTAAACTTATTTTTCAACGTGGGCTCAAGGCTCTGGATAATATCTTATCCATCATTATTTGAGAGGTTCATTATGAATATTATAGATAGAAGATACTTAATGGAAGGAGACAATTCTATGGGGGTCTCCTACATCTGCATGTCCTGTGACAGCTTTTTTCTAGACTATCTTTTCAAGGATGTTTGCATAGCTGACAGCCTGGGAAGACAGAAAAACAT